TTCTGTGATTCTGTGATTCCTTCTGCAAATAACCCCAAAGTGTTGATAGTGATGTGCAGGACACCACAGCCCCTTGAGGTGTGGTCCTGTCTCAGGTGTAATGCACATGGAGGTGGGTACTTCACACCACTTGGTCCCATATGTGCCCGAAATGTTGGTGGTGCAGCTACCAACTGTGCGAAGAACAGAGCAGTGTCCCTTGTGAGTGCCGGCTCGGATCTCTACACACCTGTAAGGATCTGCTCACGCTGGGGGTGCCTGTGGGTTGCTGTACCCCATGGCTGTGGGACCACCAGAGTCTTGTCTCAGGTGGGTCAGGGAACTACACCAGGACATGATGGTTGTGTGGACCATAGCGTTCACAGGTGAGGCAGAGCTGGAAAAATGTGTATTTCAGCGTGGATTTTAGGGAAACTAAAAATAAATAACTGAAAACTATATTAATCTGTAGAGCTTCAACTCAAGCTGAAGCAGACCTCAGGCCATCTGTCTGCTACAAACGAGGTGAAGGTTATTTTACCTACTTTCCATGCTCTGCTTTCAGCATCTCATAGTTAGGACTTTGCTTTTAAAGGCCCAAGGATGTATAAAGAACAGTGTCAAAATAACTTTGGGAAAGCCGAAAAGTTTCACACTGTAGTGTCGTTATGTCCTTTAACATTTTGTTGTTTAAAGGAAAAATTTAAAGGATTGTAGGAGTGTGTTTAAGGTGGCTTTAAAGGTCTTCTGAGTTTACGTGTCCCAGTGGTATTGCAAGCAAGCCTTGGGATTTATGAGGCATCCCTACAAGAAATTCATTGCCCTCCATGCGAAGGGTATGGCACGTGTACAAGTGGTGTAGGAATAATAAATGACTGGCAAAATGTGTGTGAGAATTTCTAGGGAACATGAAGTTAATTATCAGCATCTACAGCACCAAATGTTGATGATAACAGCCATAACACAGGCTTTGAAGATGGTGACGCCCATAAACTGCTTGTGCTGAGTGATAATTTGCTCTGAAACGTAACTTCAGTGTATGCCACGGGTCCAAGAAACTGCTTCATCAGGAAAGAGGAGGCATCTCAGCTAAGAGGAGGGCAGTGAGATGTGGCTTGCCAGTGGAAACGTCATCTGTCTTCCATTAATTCTCACAAAATCGCAGGTAGAAGCGAGGCTGGGAGATGTTTCCTCCTGAACCTGCTGAGTCCGTGGACACAGCCCCCTGTTACTGCAGGTCAGGGTCTGTTATCTTCTCTGTAAGGTTAATCTATGGCTAAAACATCACGTTGGAAGTGAAGTGGCTGGTAATTAGGTATAATCGTATCAGATGCTTGCTTGGGGCAGTAATCAGTTCTGCTAGATCGAGCTCCCTGAAGGAAGGGGCTGGTTTCTCGCCCCACATCCCTCTGCGAGTGCCCTCCAAGCCCGTCCCTCTTCCAGCCTCAACAGCCAAATCCTTCATGGAAATATTGAAATAGGAAAGCAGCCTTCCAAGCCATGTTTCTTTTAAAGCTTGTAGTGACACGAGAAATAACACGTTTAGTGTCTCACGTGCTATAATTGACATTTTAAGTGCTGTTCAGAGCAAGAACAGGAGCATTTTCAATAGATATGGAAATGGAAATCCTTTAATGTTGGTTGATAGCAGCAAACAGATGTGCTGGTGCTAAATTAAAGCTGACTTGTATGTTCACAGGGCATGTTCCGTTAAGTGAGCTGATGTTAAACGAACTTGGTTGGATTCCCTGATAGATGCATTATTTGGAGGGGAGGGCAAGCTCTAAGAGTTTCACATCAAATCCACTGTCTGTGTGTTTATCACTAAACACTTCTTTATCCCTTGTCAACCTCCCTCTCTCATGTTTTGGAAGCCAAATTAATGCTTTTTCTAAAATCTTTTATCAATGCAGGTAATAAGATTGATTTAGCTGATAAGAGGGAAGTCTCCCAGCAAAGAGCTGCAGAGTTTTCCGAAGCACAGGACATGTACTACCTGGAAACCTCAGCAAAAGAATCAGATAATGTGGAGAAACTCTTCCTGGACTTGGCCTGCCGGTTGATCAGTGAGGCACGACAGAACACCCTTGTGAACAATGTCTCGTCCCCCTTACCAGGAGAGGGGAAAAGTATCAGCTACTTGACTTGCTGTAATTTTAATTAAAGAGTTGGCATCTGATGTCCCCTTCTGCCGTGGACCAAGAGGATTTTTTGGGTTTTTTTGCTGGGATTTATCTACTTGAAGGGAATTCCTGCCATTTTGACCCATCTGACTTACCCTGGGTCAGGCTGCAGACCTGGAAGGGTGGCAGGCTGACGGCTCCAGCTGCATGGCAACGTAGCAGAATACGACGTGGTTTGAATCTCATTTTTCTTGCAGTCTGCGGAGCGGGTTAAAAAGCACAAGTGCTTCATGTGATTCAGAACATGAGCTGTTGCGTTTCCTCTGTGAGAGACAAGAGCAGCCTCTCTTGAAGATACTGAAGAGATCAACATCTGTCTTACAGAACGATGTGTTTGGTCCTTTTTGAAATAAAAAAAATAATAAAGGAAAACCCAACAATGAACACAGACCCTGGACTACACTGGCAATCTTCCGGGCTGCCAGCGAGCGAGTTCTTAGGACGTGTACATAGCATTTGCCCGCGTGTCTTCGTGGAGGACTCCGGTGTTTGAAATAGTGTTATGTCTCTCATCTACAGGCACTTTCATGAACATGGAATTAAAAAAAAAAAGTTACATATATCAACATTTTCAAGATTTAAGAAGACATGGATACAGCTCAGTTGCTCCCTTTGGTGCTATAGCAGTTCAGCAAACGTAGACTTATTACATTACTGTCCTCTGAATGTGTAACTTAGACTGGTTAGGAAAAAACACTAATAAGCGCTGTTCATTAAAACAAACAAAAAAAATCTTGTTACCTCTTTTTCTAGCCTGAACATAGTGGGAAAGGACTGTGCTTCTGTGATGTCCAACACAAGCTGAATAGGCTTTCCAGAAATAAAAATTAAAAATTAGCCATCCTTCCTCAAATTAGTAATGTCCTAATGTGAAAAATTAGCCTTGGGAAACATTATTGTTGGAAAAAGCGCACCAGATGTGACCTGAGTCCTGTGTGTTAGGGTTCAGAGGGCACAGCTTCAAGTGGGAGGCTGCAGTATGTCCGGCTTAAAAACAAAACTTGTAGATGCAATTCTGGCTGAAAGGTAGGCACACGGTTTTATGGAGGTTTGGGGTTTTTTTTTATGCCCTTTGGAAATAGCAATGGGCTGCAAAGGGTTATCATCCTGTGTCTGACCCATCCGGCGCTCACCCTGTGGAACTGCTCTCCGAGATGCTCTTGAGAGCATCTCCTTGGCGTCTAGTCCCTCGGGTAGAGCTGCCTTCAGGTTCAGGGCTGTAGAGTCATTCAATTTACTGGATGCTTTCTGGTTTAAATTGGAAATGAGGAGGTTTAGATTGGATATCAGCAAGAAGTTGGTCACAGAGGGGGCTGTGAGGCACTGGGACAGGTTGCCCAGAGAAGCTGTGGATGCCCCATCCCTGGAAGTGTCCACGGCCAGGCTGGATGAGGCTTTGAGCACCCTGGTCTAGTGGAAGGTGTCCCTGCCCATGGCAGGGGGGTTGGAACTGGATGGTCTTTAAGGTCCTTTCCAACCCAAACCAGTCTGTGATTCTTAACCCCAGATTCCGGTGTATGTGTAACATTTTAGGCAATTTCTTTCTTCAAAACCCTAGAAGTGGAAGCACTGTGGGTTCTGCGATGTTTTACACCTGCAGTGCTGTACGCAAACAGCTCGTTGCAAACTTACATCCTGACGTCACAGCGCCGCTGGCAGAGAGTGAATGTGCACGCACAAAAATGATTTTTAGGCATTTTAGCTGTTCTGGATAAATCTCTCCTGGCAATTACATGGCTGTGATATGCTGTAATTTAGAGTTAATCGATTTAATGTTATTTCGCATTTACTGAAGATGATAATAGAGCTTTTGTATTGACATAGAAAGCTGCCAGTAAGTACTTCTTGAAAAGAATAACAATTTAAAAAAAAAAAAAAAGGGCATTTAAAAATGTTTTTTCACATCTTCCTGGAAAGACTTCTTTGGGCTGTATCATGTCGTGCCTTTGATCTGTAATGGGGAGCTGACTGTGTGTCAGAGATGGGGGATTGGTGTGTCATATTGCCATTTTTGAATATTTTCTTGCTGGTTTTTTTAGGTCACTTTCTTCTTTTATGACTAGTGGTAAAAAGGAAGATGTAGAAGTTTTGGTACAAGGCTTGTGTGTCATTTAGGTAACACTTAGCAAAGTGCTGCTCTAAGTGTGAGGAGATGGGGGACGTGTCATCGCCCGTGCTGGCTCTTTTCGGTCCCTGCTTATGGTGTAATCCAGAGGATTTAGAAACGTGGGGGACTTTGTGGCTTCTGCTGTGACGGACTGTGCGTACAGCCTGTGTTCAAGGGCAATGTCTGTCTTGAGCGTTCCCCAAATTGCCAAATGCAGCCTCATTTGAGCTTGCGAACACCACCCAACTCTGAGACAGTTGATTCTGCACAGCTTTTGGGGAGCTGTTTGGAGCAAGGCTCAGGGTGTTACAGCTCAGGTTGAAAATCAATCCTATGTATAGTTAATTTGTAAGAGCTCTTACTCTCCAGACGCTGGACCTGCCAGCATATAACTGATAATAGATAGGGAAGAGCTGTTTGATAGAGTCAACGAAGGAGGAAGGGGACTGCTCACTAAAACTCCCGTGGGTTCCTCCGCCTGACTTCCGAAAGCATCAGAGCTGGGCGGGTACTTGGCATTCATATAAAGGCATTTTCAGGTGCTCCTGGCATCACTTCTGGGGGTTGAGCTCATCACGACCGAACAAGCTGAACTAGTCAAGTAGCAGAAAAGAGCTTTATTGTCATGGATATTCACTCTGAGGTCTCTAGAAGGCTGAGTCTCTTTCCAGTGCTTTCCTAACCGTGGGGACTGTTTGGAGACCAGCTGCCTACCAGCTTACAAGCACTGGTTCTTTTTATTGCTAGCAAATCTTCTCCGTGTACGGACTCCATCTCCAGACAGTGATGTGCTTGTGGAGTGCTGCAGTTGGGCTGATGTTACGGTGAAGCAGCCGACTTCTCCAGGGACGAATGAGAAAGGGTTCCTTTCCAGCTTTATTCTGTGTAGACTTAAGAAGTTGAAAGGAAGCGGTGGTGGTGTGTGCAACAGTTTATAAGGTCGCAAGCCAAAGCTGTAGTCTGAAAGTTGCCTCTTTTTCTGCAGTTAAACACACTACCTGCTGAAGAAAAGGTATTTTATCGAGCAATTCCTTTGCAGACGTTACTTTTGCAGACCTTTGAATATCTCTCTAGTGCACACAGCCCACTGCTCCTTATCGTGCTGAAGTAGATCTCTTCTACAGCCTGCTTCACTCCTGAAGGCTTCCCAGCTAGAAAAGGAGCTGTATCGACTGCTAATGACAACTGAGTGCTGTGGCATAGTGATCAAAGTCTTAAAAAATAAAAGATTAAAAAAAATACAAATCTCAATTATCTGACAATCATCTCTCCAACTATGGCCAACACTTTGCTAAATGCGTGGATTTTTGAGAACTGTCAGTAAAAGCTTTGTGATGCTTGCGGGATTGAGCATCCAGAAGCCATGCAGAATTGATGTAATGGGGCCAAATTTGACTAGAAACGCGCTCTACTATCAAGAGGGCAAGTCACTGCTTTTAGTGTGGTTGCTAGATTTTGATGTATTTTCAGGGTGATACATTCACAGCCAGGGAGTAATCTTATCTCTGGGTGAATACTAATTTTTATAGTAGTCCCATAATGAGACCTTTTCTTGAGGCTTTTTTAATCACAGTGAGTAGGTCCAAGCAGAAGCCAACATTGGATGGCCAACAGTTGTTTGCTTTAGCTTTGGAGAGTTGTTTAAAAGCAGCTCCTGAAAAACTGGATGGTTTACATTCTCAGTCCCAGTTCAGCCACTGATTCAGTCAGGCTGATTTTGGGTAAACCCCGAAATGTTCTGTGCTTCAGATCACTGTCTGGAGTACTCGCTAGTGTTTTGCGTTGGGTATTTATACTGCACGTTTGCTGGGACAAGCTGTGACACGCTTCCCAGTTGTGTTCCCCGTGAGAGACCAAACACGAGGGGAAAACAAAATCAGTTTTGATGGAAAAAAGGGAAATTACGAACTCTGTAAAGGAGGAGACACTGGGTGCCTGTTCCCACCTCTGATAGCAAGGTCCCGATTTGAGCTGCAGGTAAGTTGTTTGAGCGTGCAGTCAGATAGGAGTTCATGCTGAATGGCTTTGCAATCATTATTTAGTGAAAACCACCCGTGATGAACTGTAAGGTAAGATACTTTGCTCTTTGCTGTAGAATGCGTGAAACAGCCCTTAAAATCTGTCAGCCTGTGGGTGCTGTTTGTGATTTTTGGGAATAGCTATATTAGTAACAGTTGGCTCCTGCTAATCTAGTTTTAGTGGTTAATGGCTATTGAATTCCTTCAGCATCAGTAATAATAGCAGACTGAGACTGACACAGGAGACGGTGATTTTAGAAAGAGAGAAAGTCGAAGTTAGTGGTGCAGAAGCACAGTGGGTGCACACACATGGGACAACAGGCTTTTCTGAGCTCTTGCTGACAAGGGATGCAATTAGTTATAGTCAGATCCACTGGGTTTTGCCTTGTTGGTTTTCCCAGAGGACTGCTGCTTGTTCCACTTGTCTTTTTGGCATGAAGAACTGTCCATAAATCAGGCTGAGATGTTGAGCTGGCATGATTTCTGTAGTCAGAGACTGAGTTCAGTTGGAAAATGGGTGAAATTCTCCAGCTGCTAAAAGAGGCTGAGCAAACATGCAGGATACGCTGCGCTGTAGAGACCTGTGGTGCCATCGTGGCGGGATGTGGCTGGAGAGAGTCTCAGAAACCCTCTCCTGGCTGTGGGGCAGACTGAGTGCTGTAGCCCTTTGTGCAAGGGGAAGATGACTGTGGAGCAGAAAATGCAAAGGGATGATTCTACTCAAGGTTTCCTCAATCCTCTTTTTTTAAAATCAATGCATCTGTGACTTGGATTTGGAGTGCTCTGGAGTTTAGTAAGGAGTACTTTGAATTCGAGTCTCACCTCAGGCTCTTCTGCATTCTGTTGCTTTCGGTGT